GAGGAGGAGGAGGAGGAGGAGGAGGAGGAGGAGGAGGGGGGCGGGCTCTGAGGAGGAGGAGGAGGATGAGGATGAGGAGGAGGAGGAGGAGGAGGAGGAGGAGGAGGAGGAGGAGGAGGAGGAGGAGGACCAGTGTAAACCTAAGAGTCATCAACGATGTTGGAATTAACCCTCCCTCCAAGCTGCCTCTTCACAGGCCCCTACCACGGTTGATTTCCATTGAGGGGACTGCCTCGTTGGAAGACAACCGCTTGAACATCCTGAAGCATGCCGGAACATTGTTCTCGGGCCTTCAACGCCACGCATCAACCTGACTGCTGCGTTGTGGCGATCCAGAATCGTGCGATAACGCAATTTTTTAATTACAACGTTGCGAATCAACATGACCGCTGCAGCCGCGTAATCCTGAATCCTTCCAAAACACCGTTTTGGGTATGTTGATCATGAGAACCCGTGAAACTCTTGCAAATGTTTAGAACGAATATGCGAGGCGTTAAGGCGAGAGCCAAAAGGGAACCGCCCTCAATCCGTGAAGCCCTTGCAAGTTTTCAACGAAGAACGTGCGCGGCGCTAAGGCGAGATCCACATTTTGAAAATGACCCGCCCTCAATCCGTGAAACTCTTGCAAACATTTTAAGAAGATTGTGCGTGGCGCTATGGCGAGAGCCACATTTGGGAAAGGAACCACCCTCAATCCGTGAAGCTCTTGTACATGTTTGAAACGAATGTGCGCGGCGCTAAGGCGAGAGCCACATTCCCGCCCTCAATCTGTGAGGCTCTTGTAAGTTTTTAGCACGAATGTGCGCGGCGCTAAGGCGAGAACCACATTTTGAAAAGGACCCGCCTTCAATCCGTGAAACTCTTGTACGTTTTGAACACGCATGTACGCGACGCTAAGGCGAGAGCCACATTTTGAAAAGGAACCGCCCCCAATCCGTGAAGCTCTTGCAATCTTGTACAGAGAATGGGCGCGGCGCTGAGGCGAGAGCCGCATTTTGAAAACCACCCGCCCTCAACCCGTGAAGCTCTTGCAAATTTTGAAAACGCATGTACGCGACGCTAAGGCGAGAGCCACATTTTGAGAACCACCCGCCCTGCGTCTGTGAAACGGCTGTCACTCTTTAAGCTTCAGATTCTTACGTGGTGAGGAAGTCTCAGGCGAAACGCCCGGCCCGCCCCAAAAAACGCGCCTCGGGGTGCGGCGGGGAGGAGTTATCTATAAGGAGAAGAAAGGGAGGAGGGGGAGAAGGAGGAGGAGGAGGAGAAGGAGGAAGAGGAGGAGGAGGAGGAGGAGGAGGAGGGGGAGAAGGAGGAGAAGGAGGAGAAGGAGGAGGAGGAGGAGGAGGAGGAGGCCCTTCGAGAGTCGAGCTTCGAGCTTAGGGGGTGCCTCTGGTTTGTGGGGGCCTCCCGCGGTGTTCGCGGTCGCTGCGGCTGGATTCTGCCCGAAAGTGCGGCCGTGATGCGCCCCAAGGCAGATGGGTCCTATGGTCGATTGTGGACCTCTGCGCCCGAACACCCTCTCGTGTCTACTAGCGCTTTTCTGGTTCTGCTTCTGGCCACCTTGTGGTGTGGGTCCTCGTTTTGAGGAGACAGTGCCTCGCGTCTTCCTCTCCTCTTCCTCCCTCCCTCCTTTCCCTCCCCCTGCCTCTGCGCCCCGCCTGCCCCTGCTTTGGCACACCGCCCACACGCCGCGCCGCCCCACGGGGAGCGCCTCCAAAGGCCCCGGTGGGAGGGCCCACATGCGGCTCCCCTCCCACCGCACGTCCACTTCGGCGCACCCCTTGCTCGTCTCGCTGTCCCATAAGGACCTCCACCTGAGGCCCCAGTGGCAGGGTGCATATGCGGCTCCGTGCCCACCGCATGCCCATTCGGCACACCCCGCACACGATTCACCGCCCCATGGGGAGCGCCACCGGAGTTCCCAGCGGCAGGGTCCACATGTTGCTCCCCGCCCGCCGCACGTCCATTTCGGCACACATCTTACACGCTTCGTGACCCCTATGGGAAGCTTCACCGGAGGCACTAGAGGGCGGCTCCCCGCTCGCCGCACGTCCATTTCGGCACACTCCTCACACGCTTCGTAACCCCATGGGGAGCTTCACCGGAGGCCATAGAGGGCGGCTCTCCGCCCGCCGCATTTCCGTGTCGGCACACCCTTCACACGCTTCGTGGCCCCATGGGGAGTTTCACCAGAGGCTCCAATAGCAGTGTCCACATGCGGCTTCCCGCCCACCTCATGTCCATTCGGGCGCACCGCTCGCACTCTTCGAGGCGCAGTAGGGAGCTCCACCGAAGGCCCCAGTGGCAGGGTCCACAACCGGCTCCCCTTGAATTTCTCTTGGCACCCCCCCCAGTTTTTTCGTGGCCCTCTAAGGAGCTCCACCTGCGGCCCCAGTGGCTCCTCCTCCTCCTCCTCCTCCTCCTCCTCCTCCTCACCGTCCCAACAGGTCCCTCTGGTCTAGCACTTATCCCAGGCAGCAGCGTTATCCTGGAAGCGTGTAGTACATGTCCTGTGCCCCTTTGGCAAAGCGTTCATATCCACACGCATCAGCCCCATGGAGAAGGACGAGGAACCCCTCTCGTCCCACGGATGCGTCTCTCGCCGCAGGCGTGAAACGCCGCGTTTGGCACAACAGGCGCTTGGCTGGAGGCTACACAAGCTCGGCTATGAATTCGTCAATGACCATAAGGACATCTCTAATGCATTTGGGTCCACCAGTTGGGACTCCCTGGCCAGGGCTAACATGGAGGTGATGAGGGAGGGGGAGCACATGTACGGGGAACAGAGGTTTCAATTCTAGACGCTTCGCGTATCCCCACCAGCCCGTCCAGAAACGACGCCCAGGCGAGTAGAGGGTCGTCCTGAGGGGCTTTTCGGCGTCTTGGGTGCCTCGGGGGGGCCTCTGTGGGCCGTTCGGAATCCTCTTTGGGGCCTCCTGGGGGCCTCTTGGGGCCTCTTGGGGCCATCTTGGGGCCTCTGGGAGCACCTTGGGTGCCTCTGGGGGGTCTCTTGGGGCCTCTTGGGGGTCTCTTGGGGGCCTCCTGGGGGCCTCTTGGGGGGCCTCGTGGGGCCATCTTGGGGCCATCCTGCGGCCTCTTGGGGCATCCTGGGGGCCTCTTGCGGCCATCGTGGAGGAAATCGATCAAAGAAGGGGGGTTCCTAAATTTCAGCCCCCCCCTCAGAAGGCCAAAATGGGGCCGAAACCATAGTAAAATCAATGATTTTGGCTTCCTCGCCGAGGCCGTCTTGGGCGCTCCAACGCGCCGCGGAACCCCCTGTCCAGGTCAGCGGGGAGGGGGTATGGGGGAGGGGTAAACCCCTCCCCGAAGGGGAAGAAGGAGGGGTGGAAGAGGAAACTCCTTAAACCACCGACGCCCAGAGGGCTGGTGGGATTTTCAGCTGTCTGTTTTCGAGGACATGATGGTTACCGTTTTGTCAAACCCTGGGTGGGAGCATTGCAAGGGGATCCGTGGGCGGTCAAAGTTTTTGTACGAGATATATGAGGCTGCTTTGAGGAGGCTCAGACAGTATTTGCGGAGGCTGGTGAGCCCACAGCCCAACTCTGTGTTGTCGATCTACAGCCTGAAGGGCATGAGCCCTTGGAGTTGGACTTATCGTTTCACAGCTACGTTGATGACGCGCTGCGAACGTTGATCGCAAACCCATCTGAAAATGGTGCCGTCTCCATCAGCAGGCAGTCCATGCTCTATACTCGGATCCTCAGCGGGTGCTTGGCGAAACGTAACTATATGCTCAACCCCACTAAGAATGAATCGGTCGTTTCGTTCCAAGGTCGAGGGCAGCAGACTCGCAAGCAGGTAATCAAGAGCAAGGCACTTCCCATGGCAGGTACCCCGAATGATGTTGCAAGGTGCTTAGGCGCACTGGTACGACACGACAGCAAATTCAACAGCGAACTGCACGCACGACTGGATGCAATCACGGCTGGTTATTGGTCTATGGGCAAGTACTGGTACACCCCCAGGATCCCGTATGTTGAACGCAGGGCAATGTTTCTCAGCAAGGTTGTCGGTCCTGCAGTGTCTGCTCTTGAGGCATTCCTCCCCACGCCCAAGCATATTCAGAAGTTGCAGAGCAAAACAGTTGAGTTCGGCCGTCGAGCGTTGCGAGGAGCGGCCACGGAATGGCATCATGATCATCACCGCTCCATCCCCTCCTTGCGCGTGCTTCAGCTCTGGCGAGTCGCTCCCTTGGAGACGGAACTCAGAGTCCGCAGGCTGAAGTGGTATCAGAAGTGGGTCCAGCAGCCTCACTTTCATGCTGCTGACTGGGGTGCCCTTTTCTTCCCAATTCGTGCAGAACGAGAGCGGGGCATACTGATCATTGGCGAATCGGGCCATCTTACACAGCACGCGTCTCCATGGGCACGCAGGTTTGTAGCGGATGTCGAATCGCTCCGTCAGCTGGGGGGGGGGGGCACTCAGACAACATCGACGACTGGGACTCCCGACCTCTGGCGCTTTTTGACGACCCTGATCTTTCGGATTGGTTTAGCAGGCTGGATATGAACGAACTTCGGGCGACATCCTGGACAGTTAGTGTTCCTCCCCCAGGGTTCCAGGCTCTTGAGGCCCCTGCAGAGCTCCAACAAGATCCGCGTGACGATCATGACGATGAGTACGCATGCTGTATCCGAGGATGTGGACGCATATTTGCAACGCAACGGCAACTTACTAGTCATCTGCAGCAAGGGCACGGGCTTCAGAGCATATTGGGCCTCCTAACTACGGATAACCAATGTTTTGTCTGTGGGCAGGTCTTCGAGGCTCGCAACTCGGCCTTCAATCGCGTTGGGGTATCGTTCCGCACAGGCGCATGCGTAATTGGGCGGTCTAATGCATTTCGCACAGCAGGAGATGGAGCTCATACTACGTACGCGTGTGGGTTATGTAAGCTATCTGGGCTCGAGCGAGACGCACTGCGTCTACATTATCGTGAGCGCTTCACTCTACTTCCGATCGTCTGCGATGCCAGATGG